TAATATACTGCCTACGTTTATTCATAGCTTCCCACTTTGAAAGTATGCGAGACTATAAATAGTGAAAGGAGATATAAATCGTTGAGGATATTATGGGGAGATAATGTAATGATGTGCTGGAATGATGGGTAAATTCAAAAAAATAGTTTTAATGGTGTATTATTTACGAAATTATTGAGATTATGATGACAAGATTTAGAAATGAGAAGATTAATTAGTTACGGTTGGAAAAAATATTGAAAGATATGAATATTACGGCGGGAGTACGTGTTAATAATATAGGGGTCATTATTTCAATAAACAAATGTTACAGAAAATATAAATCTTCACATAAATTGTTTTTTACCTACGTAAATGAATACAAAAGCAACATATTATTATACACCTCTTGAGACTACAACGTGCAGTTGTTCATAGGTGAAAATTGGACATAGATCAATATTTATTTTATTATTTGAGGTTGATTTCGGTAAATAAAAAATGGATAAACATGACTTAGTTAGAATCTCAATTAGAATACAACTATATTAGTAGAAAATGAAAAATGTAAAACTAAATATTAAAGTATAATTAGATACTCAAATATATAGGGAGTATTAAGTTCATTATAAAAATATTTCTAAAGCCTCACTTAGAAAAAATATGAAAACCCTTTTTTCCAAAACATAAATGCATCTGAAAAAATTCAATGTGGCTGAACTTATTAAAATGAGTGACAAATTGCTCTTGTGAATAAAGTTTGAAGGTGAAAAGCAGAAACATTTAGACTTTTCTTGAAGTTCGATATATTCAATTTTATGACATTAACCATGTGCAAATCGTATGCATATATGTATTGGGATGCATTACTGTGCTAGTAAGATTACTTCAACATATGGAAAAAATATACACCCTCTTACTCGTTTAGGCAATCCCTTTCCCATGACCTCTCCTTTTGGTTTTTCATTAGCCAATATTTCTCAATCCATAGTATTTTCTGCTCATAAGGAAGCAAATATATATCGATACTGCCAAGTTAGCAGTAATTGAGGATTATTTGCGTTGGCTGACTCAAATTGAGTCACTTTTGGTCTCTCATGGCCTATTTGGTATTTTAGATGGCACAATTGTTGGGTGTGTTTCAAAAAACAAAGAATATCATTATTAAAAATTAAAGTAATTGCCTTATATAGGACTAAAAGAGAAGAGAAAATCTCAAATAGGATTATGTATGATTTTTTCCCTAAATAGGACTATTTTACTCCTATTTGGAAACATTCGTATTTTTCATTCCATTATTACCCCCTTATGCCTTTTACGTTTCCCTGCGCACAACTGCTTCCCCATCCCCCTTCTTCCTACGCACATCTTTCCCTTTCTTTCCTGCGCTCATCGATCGACTTCACCCTAACCATCGCCGCCGCCGTCGACTTCGCCTTGCGCACTAGATCCATCGACTTCTCTTTCACGCCGACGCTGCTATTGATTTAATCGTGTGCCCTGTCATTAAGGTTCTCCTCCTACTCTTCTTCTTCTTCTTCCTTCTCCTCTTCTTCTTCTTTCTTCTTCTTCTTCTTCTTCTTCTTCTTCTTCTTCTTCTTCTTCTTCGATTTTCCTCTGTTTTTCGGGATTTTGAATTGATTTTTCAAATTTTCGGACTTCTGTTTTGATTTTCTAGTTTCTGGTTTCTGAGTTTTAAGAAAAAATCCGATTTTCATAGATTTTGGATGATTGCTTCATATTTGGCCAAGTTTATGGCAGAAATTTGTACATTGACATCATGTTATGGCAGAAAGACTCTTGTATAAATTGGTTTTTCTGATTTTTTTGTCAATAGCTTCGTTTTTCTACTTTCCGATTGTGCTAAAAATTTATTCCATCAAAAAATTTAGTTGTTTGAATATTTGGTTATTTACTTCACGTTTTTCAAATCTTGCCAAATTTATGACATTTTTGTGTTAATATTCCAACATGAATCTGCCAACTCTTTGGCAGATCTGAAACTCTTCAGTATGGCATATGTGAATCGATTCCCAACTCTAAATCTGCCAAGATAATGACAAATTTATTCTGTCTGAGTTGTTACGATGGTGGTGGTGCTCAGCGGATGGTGTTGGTGGTGGATGACAACGCTGGTCAGATGGCGACGCCGGTGCGGGAAGCGGCAGCGGCAGCAAGCGGCACCGTCATCGGCGAGGACATCGGCAAAAAGCGCCGGCGAGGGCGGCGATAGGATGCACCGGCAAGGGGCGGCGGCGGACCATTTGGATCTGGCAGTGGCAGTGATACTGCTAGGGTTTCAATAGTTTTTTATTTTACATTTTTGGAATTTAAAAATTTAAAAGAGGAGTATTTTTGTCCAATTGGGCTGAAATTGGTTCTATGAAACTTGAGTTTCGTTTATAGTCCTAGATGTGCAATTAACTTTGCTATTAGTCCTATTTGATTCATTAACTCTAAAAATTAATGAAATAAAATGACTAAAGAAAACAGAAAATAGATGAAGCAGAATTTAGCAAGAGAGTTGCAACCAGAAAATTGTTGGGTGTCCTTAAAACATATTCGTCGCCTCTCACGAACTAAAACACAAGAAGAGAGCCTTTCCCGTAAGAATATTCTTAACTCCTTCAAAGAGAGTTCCCTTTATAAGAGGGTGAAAATCCCTTGGGTTTTCCGGTGTGGGATAAATCCCACTAGAAACCCATAATTTTCCCAGTTTTTCCATTTCAACGAGTGAATTTCGAGAATCAATTTCTCATTCATCCGTTATCCGTTTTGAGTGTACCATATATCGAATTGTAGCCCTTAGCAAGGACAATTCGAAACCACTTTGACGCGACCCAAATCGGAAGTGGACCCCACTAAAAATATTGCCCCAAATTGACCATTTAATGAAATTTTTAACACATTTTTCCAACAACACTTTCCGCAACTCATCTTTACACATGAATTTCATCATCAATAAATTGTTAATCCATAATAATATCATTGGCTTTGGTTGGATCAAAGCATTCTTCCTGGATTTTCGTTACTTTATCACATGATGTTCTTGTGGAAGATCATGAGCTTAAAAACCCCACCGCTATTTGATATAGATTGCAGTCTCGATTTATGTTTGCCATTCTGAATCGTTCTATATAGTTGAAGCGCCCGTTTTCCCATATTAAAAAACGGGAAAACCATTACATGGATCATTATTTGAGACACATTAAAGTTATTGTTGATCCTTTGGTTGGAATTAACTCTCATGTCTCTAATAATGATCTTCTCAATATACCATTCTCAAGTGGGGTCCCGAGAATGAGTCATTTGTTACCACCATTGTCATCATCTTGAATTAGCTTGTACAAAAAGCTGGATTTGGTCTTTTCTGAGGTATCGAGCCGAGGCCTAGACTAGGTTTGCCTGTTTTGCCTGAAGCATATGAAGCGATTGGCCAAACCTTAGTAATTTTATCCATCAATAGATCCTTCACTTCCTAAAGTGTGACAATGTCACCAGTTCAATGAAGTAGTCTTTTGTTATCTCAACCTCCATGGCAAAATTATCAATCATCTCATACGTGCACCTAACGTTAAAACCCACTCCTGTGCATCTATAAGCTCATTTGTAATAAATCAGAATATAAATACGGATACAAATCAATTTTTTGGTTCAAATGTCTTTCAAATACCATACAAATAATTATGTATTCGATTTGAAGAATAAAATTAGAGTTGTTTGACTTTGATATATCATATATACAATTATCAACTTATTTCACACATTATGAGTATAATTTCTAATATGTGTGTGTTAGTGTTTATTTCAAAAAGTTTGAAATAGGGAGTATAAAAAAAGTTGTTTTAGAGTGATATTTGACTAATATTTAACCTATGCTCAAATCGTTTCGATATTCGTATATGATTCGTTAACTATTCGTATTGTTAAACAAATAAAAATCGAAATTAATATTCGTTTCATATTTGAATTCGAATTCTTATTTGAAAAAATTAAACAAATACAAATACAAAATCTCATTATTCGACTCGATTCGGTTCGTATACAACCCTACGCCTTGGTGTGGTGCCTTCACTGTTAGTACTGATTTTCTCGATATCTTTGTGGCTCCTCTTCCTGCTTTGCTTCTTAGCGAGTGTGCTTCCCTTGAAAGTATCATATTTCTAGCACTGAGAGATCAGATGAGGATGTTGGTTTTCTCTAGTGCCTTGGACCGAACAATTCTAGCGTTTTGTTTCTAGTTCCCATAGACGTCGCAAATGCTGACTTTTAAGGATAGAGTTGACCCAATATAAAACCCCTTAAGTTGACTAGAATGTGAAAGGATAGGAACAGTCGAAAATAATAAGAGATTGAAAGATAATTTTTTTATTGAGATATTTCGTTATATAAGCAAGATGTGGGTAGGGTTCTACTGTGTAGACCTTTCCTTCCAAATGAAGGCGATACGCCCCCTCTTATAGGTGAGGGGGTTGGCTAATAAATACAAAAAAATTCACGCATAAATGTGCTAATAAATGAGTAATAACTACGTAATATTCATCATTCGGTGATGATTGAATCTATCTGATCCAACGTTGAGTTCGGTCTTCCTTTAGATATCGAGCCGAGATTTGGGCTAGACCGACCTACTATGCCCAAAAACTATGAAGCGTTCAACCAGATCTCGATAATTTTATCCATCACCCTTCTTATCCAAAGTATCTGATGGAAGATCATCTCACTCATTCTCGCCCTTGCCTGCCCCGCCCATCTTATCATGAGAGTCTATGACCTTGGAGGTTTGGAGCCGGGTAAAATTGTAAAATATCGAAGTGTTCACTCACAAAAGCAACTTGTTTCTTGGGGGGTCCTCGATTTGGATTCAATAGGATTTTAATGGAGTTTAGAATTTGGTTAGAATTCAAGTGTCCCCGATTGAATTTCTGTGGAATTCATGAAAATAAGGATGTTCTGAAACATTCCACGTTTGATGGACTTTAATGAAATTTGATGGACTTCAAAATCCATATCTTTTACCCATTTGCTTAGTGCTTTACCAGTGTACTCTCTTGTGAAAACTTGAAAACACGTTTCGACTCGCGGGGTTCGCGGCGTTTTACCATTTGTATTAACAACGGTCAACGGAATCTCGCACTCCGCCGGTGACGAAGCGCTGTCCTCCTCATCTTGAAACCCTAGCTCTTTCAAGGGAAAATGGGAAATCTCCGCGTCATTCTCCTTATCACCTTGGTCGTTTTATGGTCTCCAAGCTTAACTCGATCTTTCTCGCCCGATAACCCGACAGATCGCCGCATTCTTGTTGTGCTCGATGACGCATCCATCAAGTCATCACACTCTCTCTTCTTCAGTTCGCTTCAATCTCGTGGCTTCGTGCTCGAATTCAAGCTTGCGGATGATACCTCCATCAATGTCCAAAGATATGGAAAATACTTGTACGATGGGCTCATTTTATTCTCACCCTCTGCTGAAAGTGAGTCGAGTGATGAGTTAATCGCCTTTGATCTATTTTTCTTTTATCTAGCTGCATGTTTTTTATATCTTAGCTTGACAAGTGAACTGTGGTGTCAGAATTTGGAGGGTCATTGGATTTGGCTGCTATACTGGACTTCGTTGACTCTGGTGGAGACCTAATATTAGCTGCGGATGCCAATGCTTCTGATTTGATCCGAAACGTTGCTGCAGAGTGCGGTGTTGATTTTGATGAGGTACCTCTACTTTTGTTTCCAATCTTTGATCAATTTACTACTATGAGTACTATGTTAATTAATACCACTCCAAGATTTTCGTTATCTAGTGTGTTATGGATTTCAGTAGATAAGGTGATGAAAATGAAAAACTTGAGATCAAACTATCTAAGAAAAGTGATAAGTGAAAAATGGAGTATTGGTGGATCCATCTTTCAAAAGGGGGCCAGTTTGCATTCAGTGTGTGAAGTGGATGACCTAACACTAATTTCTGTTTAATTTTTATTGTATGACTGTAAAAGGAAAACCTCACTTTACTTTGTTTATTTAGTTTATGGTTTATCTGCTTAATAGTTTTTATTGGTGAGCTTGCCTTGGCTACATTAGTATTTGTCCAAATTTTAGTTTTCTCTCAATGCTGATATCCTCTATGGTGTTTTCTGCATGGGGATCTCTTAGTTCGGATAAATCTTTATCACTATTTTCTCAAACTACATTCTAATAAAGATAATAATGTTCATGCAACAGGATTCCTCTGCTGTGGTCATTGATCATTCTGGCTATGCTGTCTCTGAAATTGAGGGAGATCATACGCTGATTGCATCTGACAACATTATTAAATCCAATGTTGTCCTAGGAAGTAGAAAGAATGAGGTCAGTTTTGAAGTTGACTTATTTTGGGTGCATACATGCATATGTGGCATGTTCAGTTCTGCTTGAGGACCATTATCATAAGTTCCAGTGAATTTGCACTCTCTTATAGCTTGACATTCATTATTTCCTTCAATTTATAAAACCATGTTCTAACATTGCTGGAGTATTTATCAAGAAACCATTTTCTGAATAAATGTTTTACATTACAATCAGGCTCCAGTGCTATTCAGAGGGATCGGCCATTCCTTAAATCCTGAAAACAGCTTGGTAATGTTACAAAACTCAATTTGTTTGCTCTACTTCCTAGCTATTACATGGTTAAATTAGTTTTCAAGTGCCTGTTACTGATTTTTATTTGGGTGATTGATCTATGTCATAGGTCTTTAAGGTCCTTTCAGCTTCTACTTCAGCATATTCTGCTAACCCCAAGTCTAAGTTGTTGAAGCCTCCATCACTTGCGGGATCTTCTATCTCATTGGTTTCAGCCATGCAGGTATATTTCTGTATTCTTGTGGTTATTGGTTAGTCCACATAATATTAATATATTATTTACCTTTCCTTCATAAATTTGTTTAACACCTTAAGAAAGTTTTGTGTTGAAAATACTGTTAAGCAGGCTAGAAACGGTGCACGCGTTTTGATCTCTGGGTCTTTGGCATTGTTCAGTGATAGGTGTGTTGAAAGCTGCTATGACATTTTTTCGTATTCGTCAATTTTTTTAGCATAACTAAAATTTTCATGCACTTCCAGATTTTACAGATCAGGAGTGCTGAAAGCTGGGAGCACAACTAAGTGGGTGAAGTTCTATATTTTTCCCAACTACCTTTCAATTTCTTTGTTCATATGAACAAATGATCAATTTCCTGTGTTTATCTCTATCAACCCACTCTATGTATTTATAGATATAAGTAGATAAAATGAGCTTCAATGAATAGCTTCATTAAATTTATTGAGTTTCAAGTTCGAGCCAATAACATTTTCTTTCCTTCCAAATTTCCCCTATATTTGCTCTGTATTTTCTTTCCGTAGCACTTTGCGAGCTCCGAACAGACCCTTATTAATTTTGTTATTCTTTTCCAAAATAAAGTTCATCTGTCCAAGCTCCAAAGAGAGATAAGTGTGGCTGTATTTGTTGGGAGAGTATGTCTTTATTTTTATTGTTGAGTACCATGATTGGTAGTGAACTGACAGAATAAAGGTGATTTTTGCAAATAGATTTGAGAAGTCCGGCAATGAACAGTTTGTTACTGAACTCAGTAAATGGATCTTCCATGAAAGGGGTCATCTGAAGGTGAGTCATTGGAGGAGATATCCAATGTCAATTCCTTGGTTTTGGATGTAAATTTGTGGATGTTTTCATGCATCTACTTTTGCATTAGTAATCTACCCATTGATTTTACATCATGTTCCAGGTTGTAAATCTGAAGCACCACAAAATTGATGAAAAAGAAGAACCTGCAGGGTATAGGATCAAAGATGATCTGGTCAGTTTGAAAACTTAGTACGGTTTGTATGGAACTATGGCTCCGTTTGTTTACGAGAAAATATTTTCAGTAAAAAAGTTTTGTGACTTTTGTTTTTGGCACAAGAAAATATTTTTTAGTAGTTTTTTCCCCATAAATTCAGTAATTTTAGCAACCTCATCAATATCAATCGTATTTCCAGCCAAATTCTCTGCTTCCAAATGAGTTCTAAGTTCAGAACTGACCTCGTAACACATGTTTCCCCTTAACAGGAAGTCTCTGTTGAAATTTTTGAGTGGTTTGGAAACAGCTGGGTACCATATGTCACTAATGATGTTCAAGTGCAGTTCTACATGATGAGTCCCTATGTATTGAAAACAATGGCTACAGACCAGAAGGTATTGGTTCATTTATTAATCCAAATATTGGGTATATTTATGTGGAGGTCTGGTTCTTTTAGAGGGTCCCTCTTTCATCCATATTCATGTATATTGGTTTTACACTTTTACAAATGCAGGGACTATATCATACTTCATTCAAGGTGCCAGATATATATGGGGTTTTCCAGTTTAAAATTGAGTATCAGAGGCTTGGTTATACTAGTTTATCACTTTCAAAGCAGGTTAGACCGTTAGACTCCCAACATTTTTTATATTTTTTCACCCTTTGAAAGTCCAATGAAGGTTATTTTCTAACATTTTGTTTTGCCATGAAAGTACAAAGTAAAATGAAATGCTATTAATGTTTTCTCGGTTTAATAGCTTACATTTCATGGTATTTTAATAATAGAAATAGATAAATGAATTGAATTTGAACAACATTCCAATCTGAATGATAAGGTTATGCTAGATACTCCGTATCAATATTCCTGAAGGTAATATTGAACTATATACATTTTTACCCCAAACTGCAGATTCCAGTACGACCGTTTAGACACAACGAGTACGAAAGATTCATAACTACAGCTTACCCTTACTATGGTGCATCATTCACCACTGTAAGAATGTCCCCCTTTTCAATCACTTTTCTCGTCCACACACACACCTGTATGAATAGTAATTATAATACTAATAATAATAACAGCAATAATAATATGGAGGATAAAGTATTATTTTCATTATTTATTGCAGATGGCAGGATTTTTCATATTCAGCATCATATACCTTTACCACAAGTAGATGAGCTGTTTGGAGGTTTTACTTAAGCCTCCTTTATGCCCCCCTCTTTCAACCAGCATTACTACTAGAGATCGTTTATACGGAACCATTTGGGGATTTTTTCGCATATTGCCACTTTGTTACGGTAGTCAGGCTGTGTTTTAGCTGGATTTTGCATTCTGTGGCAGTAAATGGAATGTGTTACAGTTATATTTAGTAATTTACACAGTAAAAAAGAAAAAGACCATCTGGTATGAAATTGATCAATTATGACTGGATGATGAGATGGTAAGTACTAAGGAGGTGGTTGCAAGCGAGTACTTTTATTTAACCTAATTGCTTTTTGTGGACTTGTGCAGATATGCCACTTTTATTCGGATGGTAAGAAATGAAGAATTAGATTTGTGAAACGCGTAATTAGGCCATACATCATGACTATGACTACAAATTAAAGGAAAAATCGGAGTTTAATTTTGGAGTAATGGTACAGGCAGAGTGGTTTAGGGAGTAATTTCACTGGTTGCGCATGAAATTATTTTCATTACCTTTTGAAGTAAATTGTGATATAACGGCATTATTTTTACTTTTTTCCATTGAAGCGTTTCAAGTTAGAATCTGCATTTCTCTATTATACGTAGTAATTGACAATACTTTACTCGCATGCTATAGGGTATGTACTGATGACCTGATGTACATGCCATGTACGAAAAAAATAACACTGCAATTTCTATGAATGAAGTCTTATTCCATTCATTAAAAACATGCACGTATCATAAAAAAAAAGACACAAGACTTAGGTCCCGGGTTTGAATCCCGCCAACTACAATGAGTAGGGATGGACCTGGGCCGGTTCTGGTTCCGGGCCGGGTCTTGGCGGGCTTTTTTGCAAATCCTTAGGTCCGGAACCGGACCGGGTTGATACCGGGTCCGGGCCTAACCGGGCCGGGCCGGGCCCGGTTCAATGTCTAATTTTTTTTTTTGCTTTCTTGTTATCCCCCGACCCCCCCACCGACCCCCAAACCTCCCCAAAACACCTAGCCCTACCCTAGGAAAAGAAAAAAAATTGAAAAACAAAAAAAAATGACCCGGGTTCGGCCCGAACCGCTCGGGCCGGTTCGCCCAAAATTGGGCCCGAGCCTGGCCCGCCCGACCCGCCCAAACGGGCTAAAAGCCCGGAACCGGCCAACCAGTCTCAGTCTAGTCCGGGCCCGCACAGTAGCGGGTCGGGCCGGTTCCAGGGTCGGGCCGGTTCCGGGCCGGGCCGGTTCCAGGGTCGGGCCGGTTCTAGGGCCAGGCTGGGCCGGTTCCGGGCCAGGCTGGGCCGGTTCCGGGCCAGGCTGGGCCGGTTCCGGGCCAGGCTGGGCCGGTTCCGGGCCAGGCCGGCCCGGTTTAGTCCATCCCTAGCGATGAGGGGTTACTATGCTAAAAATGCATAGGGCCTCTGCAAGTATCGGGGACAGAGCCCCACTTTCTATCTGTCAGATTGAGAATATAGTCCAATTTACATCCTCCCAACGTACCGTCCGATCGGGGTTGGGGGCCCTCAGGTAGGGGTGGACCGGTTCCGGTTCGGGCCTGGGCCCGGCCGGGCCTCGGTTCAAGAAGGGGAGGCCCGGAACCGGCCCACGTAACCCCCGGGTTTGGGCAGGCCGGGCCGGGCCTCGGTTCTATTTTTTTTTTTTGGCTTTTCCTAGTTAACCCCCAACCCTCCCCCACACCCCCAAACCAACCCTAACCACCTCAAATGGCCCAAAATGCCCAGGCCAACCCAAAAACTTAAAAAAACTCAAACAAAAAAAAAATTGGCCCGACTCGGGCCCGAACCGGCCAGGCCGGTTCACCTTTTGAAGGGCCCGAGCCCGAACCGCCATCCCACCGGGCCGGTTGGTCCGAACCGGGCCCGGAACAGGTTCACCGGTCCGGGTCGGGCCCGCACAGTAGCGGGCCGGTCCGGTTCTGGGCCGGTTGGCCCGACCCGAGTCCACCCCTACCTTCAGGGATGGGATGTCATCCTTTTTTTAAAAAAAAAGACACGGACGTAACTAGGTATGGACGTAAGTACAAGTTGGGCCACCTTGAATTGAGATTGGTGCCAGGTTCCGGTGGCCGGCTAGTGTCAATCTAATCCTGGTCCAGTCTTGTTTTTAGACTCATCTGTCCGGCTGTCCCTAATAATTTTGTCAAGTTTGACAGGTACGGAGATTAATAAAAGTAAAAACTGTGCCATTGAGATTTGTGTAGAGGAGAGAGAGTTAACTGAAATCACAATTTTTTTACTTAAACTAGTATAGTACTCGTGCGTACGCACGGGAAATAGCGGTTGGTGCATATGTTTTTACTCATTATCTAATTAAATATTAAAACAAAAATAACTTTTAATATTTAAAAGTTATTTTCGAAAAATAAAAGTACAAAAAACTAATATTATAAAATATAAGGCATCCAAAAAATATCTAATGAAGAGTATATTAGGGATAATTAATTGACACCACTCATTAGAATTTGATACTTTAAATTTTCATGATCAAATTAATTTTAAAATTAAATACTATTCTTAAAAATTGAGTACAATAAGTGAATGACATAAAATTCAAATGAAAACAATAAATATTAAAATTAACGAATATTAGTTCAATAAGAACTTGCTAATCATAATTGCCAAAAAAAAACTTGCTAATCATTAGTTAAATTAGTGCTAACATATGAGAGAAAATTTGGCTAATATTTTTAAGCGGCAGAATAGTCTCTTTTATACGTAGTGCTTTTAGATATAAGATAATCCGACTAACAATTGAAAGAAGAATTTTCTCTCATATGTAGTTCTTTTAGGTATAAAATAACTAAAAGTGCTGCATATGAGAGAGAAAATTCTTCTACTCAATTATTAGCAAGCTTATCTTCTTTATTATGTCATTCACTTAAAGTGACTTATTTTATTTTATGTGAAAGATAATTAATTTGCTCAATTGTTAGCTAGCCAGCTTATTTTCTAACACCTAAAAGAATTACATATGAGAGAGAAAATTATCATGCTCAATTCCCCTACTCAATCGGTAGCAAGTTTATTTTCTATTAACTAAAAGACTACATTTGATAGAGAAATTTGCCCCGCTAAATTGATAGCAAGTTGATCTTATATCTAAGAATTAATTCCACTTTTGGTCCTACGAATTTTGTGTGAATTTCACCTTTAGTCCATGTCTTTCATTTTGTCCACTTTTGGTACTTGACTAATGTTTTTTAAACGTTTGTGATCCTTTTTCAGTGATTTTAACCATCATAAAAAATGTCGGAAGGACCATATATGGGGAAAAGACAATAGTCATGTATCAAAAGTGGACAAAGTGAAACATGTGGACTAAATATGGAATTGACCTAAAACTCGTAGGACCAAAAGTGGAATTTATTCTAGATCTAAAACCACTACATTTGAGAGCTAAAATTCTTCCACATAATTGTTAGTCGGATTATCTTATACCTAAAATCACTATTACATATTACCTTCGTCCCACTATGCTTGGGACAAGAGGGTGTGACACAACTTTAAAAAAAATGGAATTGTGTGGTTGATATTGAATTGAAAAAATGTGAATAAAGTAAGAATGAATTATAACCACGCAAATATTACCAAATATGGTATGAGACAAACTTAATGAGACGAACACAAAAGGTAAAACGGGACATAGTTAAAGGAACGGAGGGAGTATAAGAGAGAAAACTATTCCGCTCAATTGTTAGGAAGCTTATCTTCTACTCCGCAATACCTAAAAGCCCTACATGTGAGAGAGAAAGATATATCAGTCAATTCTCTGCTCAATTGTTTGCAAACTTATTTTCTAATATGTAAAAGCACAACATATGATAGAGAAATTTATCTTGCTCAATTATTAGCAAGCTTATCTTCTTGTACCTATAACCACTACATATGAGAGAAAATTCTCACGCTAAATTGTTAGTTGGCTTATTATCTTCTTATACCTAAAAACGCTACATATGAGAGAAAAATTCTTCCGGTCAATTGTTAGCCAGCTTATCTTATACTCCCTCCGTTTCCAAAAGAAAGTCACGGTTTGACTTCACGATTATTAAGGAAATAAATTGACTTTACTGTAGAAAACACTGTTTAGACACTGTTTGGCACTGTTTCGCATTGTTTGACACTGTTTGGATGTAGATTTCTTTGCCAAATAAGGAAATAAGGGAAGTGCGCCTTTGTTTTTGAAACATCTCAAAAAGGAAAGTGTGTGTTTCTTTTAGAAATGGAGGGAGTACTTAAGAAAACTACATATGAGTGATAAAGCTTTCCCGCTCAACTGTTAGCAAGCTTATCTTGTAAAAGGTAAAACGGGACATAGTTAAGGGAATGTAGGGAGTATAAGAGACAAAATTATCCCGCTCAATTGTTAGGAAGCTTATCTTCTACTCCGCAATACCTAAAAGCCTTACATGTGAGAAACAAAGATTATCAGTCGATTCCCTGCTCAATTGTTTGCAAACTTATTTTCTAATATCTAAAAGCACAACATATGATAGAGAAATTTATCCTGCTCAATTATTAGCAAGCCTATCTTCTTGTACCTGTAACCACTACAAATGAGAGAGAAAATTCTTCCGCTAATTTGTTAGCCGGCTTATTATCTTCTTATATCTAAAAACACTACATATGAGAGAAAAAATTATTTTGCTCAGTTGTTAGTTGGCTTATCTTATACTTAATAAAACTACATATGAGTGATAAAGCTTTCCCGCTCAACTGTTAGCAAGTTTATCTTGTAATTATACCTAAAACCACTGCGTGTGAGAGAAAAAATTTCTCAGTGTTGAAGACTACTATTTTATTGTGTATCAAGTTTGTCATTTGTCTTGTAATAGCTTAGCCTTTATTATACCTTTCTGTATTTATGTTTATATTTATTAGGGTATAAAGGGTATGGGGCCAAAGTTGTGAGGCCCATATCCTGGCATAAAAGCTTGTACGCAAACCTACTTCCGCCTATATATATGTGCGTAAGGTTTAGGTTTGCGTCAACTTTGGTATTCGACCTTTAGAACTTCAGAGCTACATTATTCTGTAAAGGTTTCCACGGTATATCAAAGAAGGGTTTCAACGATCTTCATATTGTTTATCTTTTTGTGATTCTCATCTTTGATGTATCAAAATATTGGTGTTAGATTAGTTTAATCTCTAAACAGGGACCAACATTCGCTCAAATGTTAGTCGGCTTATCTTACACCTAAAGGCACTACATATGAGGGAAAATTATTCCGCTCAATTGTTAGCCGACATATCTTATACTTAAAAGAACTATTTCCTGATAGATCAAGTTCTCTCGCTCAATTGTTAGCAAGCTTATCTTCTAATACCT